CTAACCTTGATTTCCCTTCCAGACCTGCGTAGACCCCTTCTTTTTTTTTTTTTTTTTTTCCTTTTTTTGGTCTTTTTTCGTGTCCGGCAACGGATTGCAACCCTCAGTGTCGCGCCCATACCGGACCGGGACCGGCAACGGGATCGCAACCCTCGGTGTTGCTCCCACACCACGCTCAGCCAGTGAGCGGGAACCGGTCTGTATGTGGGATCCAAACCCTCGGGTGGGAGCGCCGCCACGCTTCCCAAGTGGCGCACTATCCAGTGCACCACCGGGCCGGCCCCGACTCCTACTTTTTAATTCACCCTGAATATATGTTGGCAATAGGGCCCTTCTGAAACCTGCAGAAGCTTCTGGAAGTCTCTACCTTATTTGGTATTCAAGGGCCTTTTGGCTTCTTAGAGTGGATGGCTCTCCCTCTGCTGTGCTCAAGGGAGTGTAATTTGCCAGCAGAGGCTGTGTGGGGTAACGAAAGGGCCCCCCTTGTTTGCCTGCAGCCTTCTAGTTGAGCGGGAAGGCGCCCTCTCTTTCTCGGTCATGCACGAAGCACCGGCGGGAAGAGAGCAAGCATTCACGTTACCACCACCAAGTCAGTACCGCTGGCTTTTGCCAGTGGAGGGAGTCATTTCCTCTTCGACCAAGAAAAAAAGAAAAGAAAGAAGGAAAACTGAAGAAGGGTTTTCCTCCAAAAGTGATGATGACCCTCAGCCTCTGAAATTGTCTTTAGGTATTATAACTAATTTGACAAGAAAGTTTCTTAGAACAACTTCCTTTCAAAACTTGCGTTTCTACTAGATGAGACATTTTTAAAGATATAATTCAAGTAGAAAACATCTGTTTTTTAAAGATAGCTTTAAAGCTTTTTCACCACATTCTCAAAGATAACTTATTAGAATGCCCGTCCCCAACTACAGAATTCCAGTTTTTTATCCCTTCGGTCTCCACACCCTGCTTTTGCTTGTGTCAGCCCACAAAGAAAGGGAGATTTAGGTAGACAACAGGAGAAAGGTTGTATTGAACACAATCAAAAAGGGTTAATATTTTTCTAGTGCCATGTAATACGTTAATATTTCATTCTAGATTAAATTCAGTTCCCAGCACCATTTTGGAATACAGTTTTAGTGATTAGTATATGAGGGAAGTAGGAACTTTTCTCATTTCTATTTTTATTTATTTTTTAAATGTCATTATAGAACTGCTTGAGCAATGTAACTGATGTCCCATGGTCTCTCCTTTTTAAAATGCACAATTCTATGCTGTTCACAAATTAAGGTATTTTAGTGGTAAAACAAACAGGATTTTACTAGAAAAATCTTCATCTTAAAACTCCTTCCCCTTGAAATTCTTTATGCCATTTATTGATTTGTTCCTTTATCCTTCCATTTACTTATTTACATATTTACTGAACATTTACTGTGTGCCAGGCAGTGTTTTTAGTGATTGGACAAAAGTCAAGAACAAAAGAGACAGGATCTCTTTCTTCCTGGAGTGTAAAGTCCAGTTGGGAAGATAGACATTCAGTAAATTAATTAAAAAAAAAAAAAGCTAAAATAACTGCACAACACAGTGAGTCCTGATATAAACTGTGGCCTTTAATGTATAATAAGGTATCAATATCGGTTCTTCAGTTGTAACAAATGTACTATTCCAATGCAAGACGTTAATAATAGGGGAAACCCGGGGGCGGGGGGAAGTAATAGAAACTCTGCTTTCTGATCAATTTTTCTGTAAACTTAAAAGCTATTCTAAAAAAAGTCTCAATTAAAAATTAAAAATTTTAAATAGCTATAAAAGATAATCACTCTAAAGGAAATAAACAGGATGATATTAGAAAGAATAGTGGGTGACAATTTGGACTGAGAATGAGGAAGGACCTTTTTAAAGAAGTGTCGATAATCCCAGTACTAGAGGGTACATAGGAGCTAGCCAGACAGAGAGGAGGAAAAGCTTTCTCAGTGAAGCAAAGTGGTATCATTTCAATTAGCTTTGGAAATACCATTCTGGCTTCTGTGTGGAGGAAGGATGGGGGGGTGGCAAAGAGGACAAACGCGGAGACGAGTTAGGAGGCAATTGGAATAAACCACAGCTTGTGCTCCCACTCAACAAAGTACCAGAGTGACATAGGATGTTTCCTTTGTTCAGCTTATGCCAGAAATGGTTAGGTTCTCCACGAACTGGATGCAAGGAAGAAAGGAGACTGTTTCAATGGCAAGACAGGGTTTCCAGGTCTCAATTCCCAAGATCTTTCCAGTGGCTCACTGGGATTTATAGAATTGAGAACAATTTTGTGTGTGTGTGTGTGTGTGTGTGTGTGTCTCTACAACCTAACAATTTTTTTTTTGTGTGTGAGACTACAACCGAATAAAAATTATAAGGGAAAAAAAGCCTTCAAGTACTAACTACTCTGCTGTAAAAACAGATTTTCATAGAAGTTTGTATAAGATTTAATTTGCAATAGTTATCTTTATTCCTGTTACTGGGTTGCTGAAATTTTGTTTTTTGTTTCTTCTAAGACTATATGTTGAAAAATTGTTGACAAGACAACAAAGAGTACCCTTAAGAAAGGGCCATTTAAGCAGGGCACTGTTTTAGTACAGCAACATCGAATGGTTCATATCAGAGTTCCTAGGGGCAGTGAACTCCCAAGGAAAGAAATTCTAGTGGGTAAAAGGAAGTGTCTGCCAGGCTATATTTCTATTGATTTTGGAGCTGTTATTAGTACCATAGAAGCTTGAGTAGTTCAAAGTTCTTTTTCCATTGAAGGGAAGCAGCTCTGCACAATCCACTTCACTGTTTGTCATTTTTACTTGCCTGTGTTGTGTGTGTGTATGCACTCAAGATTTGCAAAGCACTGTCTTTTTTATGAATGTCCTTTACAGTAGGAAAGTTGTGTATGATGGTTGTACATTATATATAAAAAGATTTGATAATACGTTGAAAAATCTTTAGCAAATGAGCATGTATTTCACAGCACGTAACTAATAATTATACAAAACGGTTCATATATCTATTTATATTCCTCTCTAGAATTAGATTTTTCTGTATTCCTGGAAGCACAAACACTAGGAACCCCCAGTTTGAGCAGACCTGTTATTTTAGGAAATAGATGTGCATCACCGATGTAATTTTAAGTAGCCCAGTTATGAATATAGAATGAAAGGATAAAATAAAGTTTTCCACTCTGATGTCTCCATTAAGAAGATCCTCTTTGTGCATGTACTTCATGGCAAAGTTGCTTCTATTTAAAGTAGTGAGTTTGATCTTGGCTTTGATCTGAACCTTTTGATCTTGAAAGGAGGATGGAGCAGCAATAAAGCGAAATGCGATAAAGTGAAAGGGGTGGTCAAGACCCACAGGTGACCCGCCTGTCCTTCCCGCCCTCCCCAGCGGTCTGGTTCAGCCACCTTCTCCGCGGCGGGAGAGCCTTCTGGGGGCTGGGAGACTCGGGGTGCCGCACACGTTTACAAGCTGAGTGGGCACGTCCTGCTTCACTAGGAAAGGCGTCGACTCCTTTTAAGGTTCCGCCCGCCGCTTCGGGGTTCCGCGACGGCGTAGGGGCCGCGTGTGCAGCAGGCCCGGCGAGCGCGGCGGCTCCTCGACGCCCTGGCGGAGCGCGAGGCTCGCGTCTTTATGCGTCTCCCCCGGGACGTCACTTGCCACCGCCCCGGAGAACGGACGGGCCGTCGAATCCATTCCGGGAGAAAAGTGCGTCGGGAAAGTTTCTTTCCCTGGAAAGCCACCGGGACGCTTGGGCTTCCGACTGGGAAGCGAGCTCAGGCCGGCCGCAGGGGTGGGGACTTCCCGCAGGGCCCTTTCGCCTGCGGCCGGGCGGGCGGGCGGCCCTTCGGCTCCTCCAGCCGCCGGGATGCCCTTTCGTGGGTGCGCAGGGGCCTGGGCCAGAAAGGTAAGGCGTGCGCGCCCGGGAGCTGTCCGCGCGCGGGGGCGCAGGGAGGAGGCCCGCGGAGAGAACAATGAAAGAGCC